AAAAAAAAAAAAAAAAAAAAAAAAAAAAAAAAAAAAAAAAAAAAAAAAAAAAAAACTAGCCAATTCGACTGATTTAAACCTTTTATGTCTGCATGCCTTCTTCAAACACATAAATCAAAACTGCATCTGTATAATATACTGATTGACTAACCTCCAAGCCGTAATCAGTACATAGAAAACAAATGGGTCACATTTTTGTTTCGAAAAATAGCAAAAATTTATATAATGAAGAAGGGACTTCTCTTGAAACTGAGCCTCCAGTTCAGATTAGCTTGATTGTTTCACTGCAAGGAACGCATTATGATGGTGAATTTCGCAAAACATGTTTTGCATGATTTCCGAAATTGCAAGTTTCTTGCCACATTGTATTTCTTTAGAGAACTATTAACAAACACTACTTTTTGGAATTTTCATTGATGCTTTTTCTTTTGCATTCTCTAAAAGTTTCGATCTATAAAATTAATTAATTAGTCTTTATTGAGAAATGAAAAAACAACGGAGATTTTAAACCATCGCAATCGAATTATGCGATTCGTGATCGTCGTCCTTCTTCATTTTCGTTAAAATACGTGTTTGTACTCAACCATTGATCTTGAAAAATAATTGAACGAGATTTTATCCTTCGCTGTAACAATTACCTTTGCCTTTTAATAAATGGGGTCCAATGTACTCTGCCAGAACTTCTCCATCTGCCCAATTATTTCCCTGGATGTTAACGATCAACCAATGGTTCCATTCTGTGTATTCTGTTCTTCGCTCTCGCGACGGGTAATCCGCACCTGTTAGTCACCAATAATTGAAGTATAATTTCTGAACTTCTCATCGTAATCTAAATGGACATTTGGCGTTAAAACATTTCTCAAAATGGTTGGCTTTTAATCCTGAGACACCTCGTTTCCTAATCCTCATTTAATGAATAAGGCTCCCAGCGAGGTCGGTCTGACCTGAACCTCTGTAGTCCCTAACCATAGATTAAGACTACTACAAAAGGCCCCTAAGGCAGGATATTACTCATGTTTTTCAACTTTTCATCAGTGATAACCCTGATTTTTGATAAGCGAGACCCTTGTGGCCTCTTGGCTGTATTTTCTTTTCTTTTCTTGTTTATGATTTTTGGACCAGCAAAATTGAGTTTTCCTGGAGGTGCTCCGTCACCTAACCCTTTTGGTTCAATGCACAATTTACCGGCGGGCTGGAATAAGGAGAAGTATCTGGAGCCCCTATGTCTCACTAATAACGCTTATTAAAACCATCATAATCAGGTTTGAATCTAAGTTGAAATATTTTGAAAAAATGTATTAAGGAGGAGTATAATTTCGTTCTTTCTCCAGGAGAGACCTCTTGCCCCCCCCTTCCCCTTCTCCAGGCCAAAGGGTCCTCCAGGGTCTTTTTTTGAGACCGCGCCAGACCGAGACCGACCCTGTCAACAAGATTTTACCGAAAATGTCTGTTTTCGAAGATACCAAAATGTAAGCACCAAAATATTTATTACATTTTCAAGAGGAAATTATTCGGTTGCCTAGCATCTAAGGTGGAGTATATTAAAAATTTAATGCTACCCTAAATTTGTCACTTATGTATGTTAATCAGCATGCGTTTTTTATTTTGTTTCATAAAGTCCAAGAGCCATGCATGGGGTAAAAGTAGAAGCGTTTACCAACTAATGATAATATATAGTACACGTCTTTTTGTACCGGCCAATGGACCACTGATGGTGTCGATGAGCAAGCTCGAGGGTTGATGATGTTGCCGAAGTCTACGATGTTCTCTCTCGGGTACTCCACCTAGGTGAACCAATCACACTCGTCACTATATGAGGTAGTTACACCTGGTGCAAAATTTAAAGCGATAACAAACCTAGGCCTTTGTTTTCGTTTAAAAAAATCACCCGAATCATAAGTGATGGAACTCATTACAAAGCGGCGTCAACCTCTACGTTAAAGCAGGAGTATAATGAATATGGAGGAGAACAAGAAGAACTTTAGTAGATACAGCGGGGTCACTTGCGACATCTTTGTTTTTCTGAGAAATTTGTATCATGGACTCAGCCAGGAATGATACTCAGTCAAAATACATCGAGCTTTAGAGCGGAGAAAATTGTCTTTATCTTCCTTGATATAGACAAAATATTATTTCTGTCGTGTAACGAAGAGAGCCGAAAGTGCTAAAATGAAGTTTTGAGGAAAGAAGCTCCGTAGCGTCTGAGCGAAAAATTGCATCGAAAAAAGCCCCCGGTCTTTGTCAAATTGCCACAAATCATCCGCAATACTATCAGAAATTGTTAGAATGGTCAAAAATTTACAAATTTTATTCCTACGATATGAATGGATATTTGTCATTTTCGTGCTATAGGCAAAAAATTCTGTCTTCTGTTATACTTTTATGGTTGCGTTTTGGATACACAACAAACAAATTTTTAGATTAGAAATTGACAGAAAAGGGCGTCATTTTTCTTAAAAATACCAACTGCTCTAATTGGCTCTCTGGCGGAATAATGCTCCTTACGGCTGTTTTGTCTGAAATAACGTCAATTTTTGCCCACTTACGGCTTCCTCACATGCCTCATTTTCATTTCAAAAATACGAATCGTGCTGTTTTAGCTGCTTCCGCGATTTCATCTGGAAGAGATTAGACGAATTTTGAAAGAAACTCGTTTTCGAAAATTTGCGAATTACGGCTCTCTATACTGTCACGGCGGAATTCTTCGGTAATCACATCAGATCACCTGACCCATGTAGTTGGGAGTTGCGAAAGATAGCTTGCAGTCAATTTAATGATGTAATAAATGCAAAACCTTTGGATATAAATTGACTCACCCACAGTTGAAATCGTGGCGTACACTCGATAACATCCCCGATAATATCATGAGCATCCATAGATTCTTCTCTCTCTTTGTATGTTTTATTCCTATTACTGTTAAAGATACGCTGCACGTACGGATCAAGTGTGCTTAAACTTGTAAGGAATACTTCAGGCCAAAAAACTGTGGTAATAAGAAATTGAAGTACGCTCATTTTCACCATTCAGACTTCCAATGAGTACCATACACCGTGGATTATGACGGCCTCGTTACTATTTCATATTAGCCGCGAGAAAAGAGGAGTGGCAACCTATAAAGTTGGCAACACTGTTTTTCCCTCTTTTAATGTTGAGACCTGGATACACGCTCAAATTTCCGTCAATATCCGATCAAAATGATGACAAAAATGGCGATCGAGAGTTATCTAAAATTAATTAGAACAGCGCGTTGATTGAAATAAGCACGGTTGTGTGGAAATCTGATGATGGATGAGACTCACAGTTCCATCATCTATCATCAAATTTTGCATGCCGCAAAAAATTGATGGTGGATGGTGCGCACCAGTCACCATTTGATCGAAACTTGATGGATATTTGAGCGTGTATCCAGGCCTTTAGTAGAACAATCAATCTTTGGTGAGGCAAGCTGCCTCGACAAAAATCAATGTTTTTTTAGATTTAAAGGCAGGAAAAATAGTGTTGCCAACTTGCAAAATCGCCACTGAAAAAGAGGAGAGTAAAAATTGCACTTTCGTAAGAACATACGATATCTATTGTCACTGTGCACAGAAAATAAGACAACGTATTTATTGACACTTTTTTGTATCATTTTGGAGCTACACGTCTCATAACAATATAACAGCGCGGAGACCGACCAAAGGAAACGCAGGAACAAACTGAGAAGGCTACAAATACACGGATGCTCAACAAAAAAAATCGTCACACCTAGATAAGTTGATAGGATGTAAGTCATGAGTAACAAGCCATCTGATTAAAAGTAGCTGCCAAATTGTTTCATTATTTTGATAAATTGCCGACATTTCATCCATAAAAAGGATTAATTGAAATACATTTGAAACACTGTGCTTGAAGGAAAAGCATTTTTGAAATTTAATTCTGAATGAAAAATAAACGTATAACCGTCCAAACTAATTGCGAAACATGTTTTATTAAATGAATCCATTGATCACCCAGCAACTAATTAGATGCCATTTGTATCAAGCGTTTCCCTAGGAATTCGGCAAATATGGCTCGAATATATATGAGTCATCGTACTAACATTCAACGCAAAGTAACATGCAGTTTTGACGGTTCTCTAAAACATGCCGCAAGTATTATAGTCCAGGCGCCTGCTGGCTAAAAATGAGGCTACCTGGAATTTCGGGTACACATCGATTTTTTTTGGCTTTCTTAATGTTTATTGAGTCGCTGAATCCAAATCTGAAGTTTCCTACCGCGTATCTGGTGAGCATTTTCCGCCATTTTGAAAAAATGGCCTAAAAAGGCCTTTTTTGCGGTTTTTTTTATTTAGCGGCTACGCATGAGAAAAAGTCCCGGATTTAGTTAATGTTTTGAATAGCTGACATAATTTGGAAGAAAATGGTGTATACATATGATAGGTTTGCTTAAAAATTGAGGAAGATACAGCATCGTGAACATCGCGCCCATTCACGTTTTCGCGGCGCTTCCGTCAACGCGTGATCCGGCTCGCCGCGGTCAGCCAAGTTCCAAAGCGTTCCAAAGTTCCGAGATCCGAGATTCCTCAATTTTTGAGCAAACCTAGCATATTTATATACCATTTTCTTCCAAATTATGTCAGCTATTCAAAACATTAACTAAATCTGGGCGTAAGTCACCGTTTACAGAGAAAAGGAACCTCGGTTCAGAATATGTTGAAAATATGTTACACTTATAAGTATCAAAGTATGCGAGAGTGATCTATGAACATTTCGGCATAAAAAATGCCCAAAAATGTCACAAATCAAACCGGAGTTGCGGTGGTTTGAAGCTTGCAACTCAACTTATATTTTTGCAAGAAGAAGCTATTTTAAATTCTAGTCTGCTTGGTTCTAGACACACAATGTCCGTTTCACATCGGCTGAATTGCCCCAGATTCATCCCAATTGTAAACTTTTCCTCTGGCAAACCACACATTCACAACTAATTATTTAAAAAACCCAAGGCGATTTTCCCGTCGGAATCTTAAATCAAATTTTTCAATCCGATTCAATAAAATGTCCTCAACTGACATGTTTGCATTCATATGGACTTTAAAGCCCCGTTTCTCGTGGACAATCCCATAGTTATACGAATTGTGCAAGTAGGAAGTTCAAATCACAGGTTTCACGAAAATAATACTCAATGGACCATTGGTTTCTAGGGTTTATTGAATTACAAAATGGGGGCAAAACTGACCCAAGACAGGAGAGAAACAATCTTGTCCGTTAATTTGTAAAATTACAACTATGATATGCTGTGAAATTCTTAAAACTATGTCGTCTTTTGTCTGATTTTAAGCGTGTCAGTTGGGCTCGCTTTTTTTTACATTCTTGCTCACAATATCCTGAAGTAAACCCGAATTTTAGTGTTTACAGTGGAACTTTTATTTCCTCATCTATTGATAGATTGCCTTCGATTCGTGTTGCTTGTTTGAGGAAACTATTTATTCCAAACGTGGATTCAAAAGACATTCTGTTTACGTAAAATAAACACACATCGTTCAAAGTGACCATGATTGATTGTATACAACGATCCAAAAATTTCGTACCACTGCTATAACTAATAGGATTCTTAGACCTTTTTGAGGTTGTCTCCTTAAAATTTTGGTCGACTTTAGAGCCTCCGCAAATATTTCAAGTCTCAATCTATCTCAATTTATTCAAATCTTATAGTTGCGATGTCGGGTGCCAATGATGCGAGACTTATGGATCACCCTGTAGATGCATGTCAGGAAGAAAACCCTCTGAAATATGGGAACCTCAACGCTGAGAGCTATTACACGGTGGTATATACAGAAAATAAAAGTAGAAATTACCCAAGTACATATTTTACACAAATATGCGTATTTTTCAAAAATTGCCTCCAACAATTGTCCTATTACCTACTGAATTAATTATTTTTTTTTAAAAAAAAAAATTAATCATTAGATTTTTCCCCAGCAGTCACGTATCATCTCTTTTTCTCATGATAGGTATTTAATTTTTTGGAGTCGATAGAGTGGAGTTCTGCTGCTTTTCTTCCTTTTGTTGATTCATTTCCTTGCGTTTCTCCTTTTCTTCATTTAATTTCCGCGCTTCCTCGAGGTAATTGTCGGTTGGTTCGGGAACTTTCTCGTCGGGAAAAGGCGTGACCGTCAAATTAAACGGACTCATCAAAACGAAAAAGTTGACGGCAATCGGTTTGCCAAAGTTATTTTTCTCTGCAAATCGCTGATGAGAGAACCCTGCTCTGTCTTTATCTGAACGTCTTGAGTTAAAAAAAAAAAAAAAAAAAAAAAAAAAAAAAAAAAAAACATTTTCATAAAATGTTTCATAGTGAATCGATCCGAAATATTTTATCTTGTTGGTTAAAAGTCTTCATGAAAAAGTCTATTTTTATGGTGAACGTGTCTATTAACTATTGATTTAAAGACAAAAAATATTCGTCCGAGCATACTTTTTTCACTAGTCGTATGCCTCATATATGATTTCTGGAATTATAGTCATTTTTCTGATAACTTACTCTTTTTTTTAAAACAACGGCTGTAGGAAATTGTCTTCTCTTTTTTTTTTGCACTAACCAACGATAATCCCAATGTTACAACCAAAATTTTGAAATGTTTTGCTTCCATTAAGTTAAGAATCTAAATTGTTGTTTTTGCACTCACCCTTCATATTTTCTGTAAGGACATTAATGCCCTGAGATGCAGAATGTCTCTATTAAAATTAACTAACTCACTAACCGAGCTTCAAAACCTAATGCTCCTGGACTCCGTCGTAAATAGCCACAGTTGCTGATTGTCAACCATCTAACCAACTAACTATGTGACTGACGTTCTGTTTTCAAAGAAATCGAGGTTAAATAGTGGTTTCTGTTGTGTATTTTTAGCCTTGTTTCTCGTTTTTACCCTTTTCTTTTTTCATGATATAGTAAGTGGTGGAAAACTTACCCGGCACTTATTTCATTCTCAACTATAGCTGTTCTTGATTTTTGTTTGTATATGAGGAAAACATAGCGATGCATTCCTATATTAACAAAGGGGGAAAACATGTATTACTACGTTTTATATCATTGTCTCTTGTAGTCGGAGAAAAATTCATCATTTAATTCGATATGATCACGAATCGCAACATAATTATTAATTACATATCGACGGTGAAACTACCAGACCACGTATCTCGTTTGCGGTGTTTAAAAATCTCCACTCACATTTTATTTTTTTGAGGGAGATCAAATCAATATCATTCCTTACAATTTTCACAGTTTTTTCTCCGCACAAAGAGGAAAAATCACGGAAGTTTTCAAGAATTGACGTTGAGTAGTTTTCTATTTAAAAAATAAAGTATGGCAGGAAGTCTGCGACGTCGCAAACCGAGATACGTGGTTTGGTAGTTTCACCGTCGATATACAATTTGACTCGAACAAATAAGTGAAAATACAGAAATAAGCAATAAAAGAAGTATTTATTTTTGGGGGTTTGTGCCTTCCCGATGGTGGTAATAAAAGAGAATGTAACTGTATTCATCTGTGCTAAATCGGCAATTTAGCGCGTGTAAACCCATGCGTAATCAACACTTTGAGGAGACAGGTAATCACTCGAAAGTATGAAGAAACGAACAATTACGAAAACAGGAACCAGAGGAACCGACGTACCTACGCGTTATGCCCGAGAGACACTCAAACCGCCCAAGATTAGTGTTGCTTCAAAATATTTAAACAAAATAACACGTTTAAAATCATAATTTTCATTGACTTTTCCAAAAATTATGAAATAGCACTGCTATGAAAATGTTCCGAATTATCATCCTATATATGTAGAAGGCTAAGCACAGCTTTTGAGACGTTTCAACTCGAGTCATCTCTTTTTGAATGCATTACTTTGTCACCTATTTTACTAAAACAATGCTTAGTTTCTTGACACAAATCATAACAGGGAAGAGTTTTTTTGAACAGTAATATTATAAATGGAACAGTCAAATTCAAAATCCAGATTTAGCGATCGGATCAGTATAGTTGAGTCGATGAATATACAACATTTTATATTCGTAAATAGCTTTAATTTAATTTTGAACATCCACTCAAATTAAATACTTAAAACTTACCTGTGCTCATTTTAGGCATTGGTTGAACCCACTTGGCTATTGCATCTCCTTGGAAAATAGTCAGTCCTGGTATGTTACACACCAAGTAATAGAGCCACTCCCTGTCAGTTGGCGCTTCCTCACTTGGCTCATCTAGACCTAGAAAGAGAAGAAAAGGACACGAGGCAGAGAATAAGAAAAGAAAAATTGAATGGAGCTGCATTAAATGGGTTAATTGAAAACTTTTATCGGAGCAGAAGGAAGAGTTGCCTCCAATAAAAAGTGGTTCAAAGATTACGACACGGAAAAGAAGAGCACGGAGATATTGGGTGATAAATGAAAATGTCCGCAATTATTTGTGGTAGTACCCCCATTAATTTTGGTAGTACCTCCTTTAATTTTGGTAGTACTCCAATAAATTAGGTTATACTATAACCCGAATGTTAATAGAATCAATAGAAGTATTCCTGTTGTTTGCGTTTGTTTGAAGAGATGTGTAACATACGAGTAACAGCTGCTTTTTTTAACTTCGCGTATGAAATTGTGAAAACGGGGTAACTCATTTACTTAAACTTCAATGACATATACTTTCAAATATGTAGTGCAGAACTAAGAATATTCCCTACGCAGATTGTGAAATTAGAGGTGAATTTCAGACTTCTCCTATGCGCTCATAGTAATTTTTTGGTCATTTTCTCTGAGAATGAACTACTATTTAATCCGACTGAGAATATGAAACTCTTTAAACGGATGTATTATGCAGTTATCCGGGCTAGCTTACCGACCATCATCACGGTGTAGAAAGTTGAATTTTTCATTGGATACCTTATCAGATATGGGGCAAATTTGATCTCATTCACGAGCAATATATTCCCAAAGTCTACTTCCACTTTCTCGAGAAATTTTATCTGGAGAAAATAAAAACAAAGGGATTTAATAAAAATTAAAAACAAATTTTAACTCATTTGAACATCGATTTTTTAGAGTCAAATACGTCTAATTTTGAGTGTTTGGTTGCGCGTACACCACGTTTCAGCATAGTAAAAGCACAAAATGAAAAAAATTTAAGTTCTTTGGGTATCATCAAATTTGTCACGGGACCACCTTAATATTTACAAAACACACATTATATTTTCTGTTAATACATATTTTCCCCCCATGAATTTCAATGAGAATATTCCATGCAGAGTGTACAAACATTTTAAAATCATGAGTTGAGAAACGGTGACTCCGCAAGTTTAAATATTAGAGCATAACACAGAGCGGAGCGGTGCGGCGTGCTGTCAGCGCGAAACGCGCACTGGTGGAGCCTACAAACCTAAGGGGATACTTCACGCATTGCGCAATGCTTGAAGTATCCACTTAGGTTTGTAGGCGCTGATGCGTGTTACGCGCTGGCCGGCCGGTTGCCAACCCGCAGCGTGTCACGAAGCCTCAGCAGGCAACTATTTCACAACAGAGGTTTTGCAAAGTATCATACGAAATTGGAGATATTCCAATATATTAAGGATGACAGGCATCTTTTAAGAGTTCGAAGCTTTCGTTGCAAAATAAATCAACCTACTAAGGCACAAAAAGAGAGCAGTATAGTGCAAATGTGACTCGATTTAGGCAGAAACATTCATGAGTATGCCGTCAAGAAGATTTTATTTGGAATCAAGAATAGAATACCTGAATGAAAGCGGGTTTCTGCTTAATGTAAGTGACTTTGCTTTTAATATAAGCGCATGTTTTCTTCTTCAAACAAGCAATATTTTCTTAATCGATTCATACGGAAATCCTCTCAGCGGTAAATTTGACCAAATTTCTGCTTGAAATCAAGCCAATTTTTCCTCTAATGAAGTTTAAAAATAATGCTAAAAGTTATGGAATACAGCTACTAGGACTTAGTAAGTTTTCTGACTACCGCTCTCTGTTTGTCGAACTCTTTTGCCGTTCAAATATATTTTGAATATATTTGAAATATTTATGTCTCACAATATCTAATCTCTGGCAAGACTAATGTTTTTTTTGGCGCGTATACGTAGTATACCGCCTTTGCGATCGTTTCGAACCCTGCTCGATACAATAACCGAGTCCTTTAGTTCCTTACCGAAAAGTGACTACCGCGAACTTCTGAGATTTTCCAAAGCGTGTAAAAAGTTTATTTATCCATCAATAATTATGATTTAAAGTTGTTTCTCATTCTGGGGGTCGCTAGTTTATGTGCAGTGAATACCAAGAGTCTAAGTTACTTGGTTTTTTTAAAAAAAGCCTAAGAATGCGACGCGCTGATTTAAAATATGCATATATAAGCAGAATCAAGCGAATTGATTCGAGGATGGCTGAGCAGGTCGGCACTCTCGGAATGAGAATCTAACTCCTCCGTTTTGTTCAAAACGTTGCTTTGACAGATCTGTAACCTCGGTTATACTTTTCAAAAGTTGGTACCCGTGCTCTGAAAAACCCAAATAAGCCAAGTTCGTGTAACTATGGTGTCGTTGCCTCGACCGGGCTGTGCTGTGTTGCCAATTGTTGGAGGATAGGTTACTTGCCCGGTGGTGGCTACCGCCACTCATGATAGTGCAATCTGTGTAAGTGCAATCTGTGATGAGCCTCGAGACTCATTAGACCATTAGCTAAACGTGGCTCATACAGGAATCCACTTACCCCTCTCTTCCCCACGCTCCTGATCACTGCGTCGGCGTCTCGACGAACAATAGCTAATGACGGTCGCCAAGCGAGGCCGGGATCCTCAGCCCCTCGCCCAATTACTTACGCTTCATTAACCATTTCACCGTCACGCTAGGATTCGTCCAATTTTAAAAAAAAATTGTTTCGCGAGTTTTTAGCAATTTTTTCCTTACTTTCCGTTAAAACACGAATTAAAAGAGGTCTCATTCATAAAAATCGGCCAAATAGAAGAGAAGTTACAGTATTCGAAATCCGAAGAAATCAACAAAACTTCTCCAAACAAAAAATAAAATGAAGGGGGAAAAAAAGAAATGTATAAATTACAATTTAATATGATTGACCTCAGAATGTGACAAGCAATTCAATTATAAAAAGGAGAAAAAATTGAGTGAAATTACAAAAAATTAGCCTCTTGCAAGGGGCTTTCTTGTATGAGTTTTGACCTGAAGACAAGTAAATCCCGTTATATTATTAAAACGAAATTGACTCCATAGTTTAATGCCTTAGTTTCTTGAATACGATTATTTTAAGCACTCGAAAATTTATACCAGCAATTTTACCCATGGGGTGATTTCCTGAGAGCTGATAATATCACGAATTTCTCATAGAGCCCTTCAAAAATGGCTTGCTTTTTGGGCAGCCGATTCGGCCATCAAACCGGGGTTTAAATGGAAGCTGATAATAACACAAAGCTCTGAGAAAAATTTTGAGATGAGTATAGGAACGGTTTGTAAATTACGAGGAGAGGCGGGCATTCTGTTCAGCATATCGATACATAAGTATTTTCACACGTAGAATTTAATTTTCACGTCAGGGAGTCGACATATTTTGATTTTTTTTATTTTATACGGAAAATTTATGGTTTTTCGGGATTGAAATTACTTACAATTGTTTCATGAAAAATGAATGCACCCAAAATGACTATAGCATTTTGACTTTCACATACGTGCACTCACTAAATTGATTGGTAAATTCAAAGAGTGGGTACATCGACCTGGTATATCAAGTTTCTGCGATTTTTTACGGCAAATCGGTAGATTTTCGGGATGTGGATTGCTTACTTTCAATTCATGAATGAATAAAGCATGGACATGGTTGAGCTTCTTTGCATGAAAAGACGTTTAAAATAACAAAATCAAGACATATTTAAGACAATTGCATTTATATCGAGTCAATTTCTTTTCAATAATATAACGGGATTTATAATACCGGTGATTTGGGTATTTTAGCCCCAAAATACCTTTAAATCGACTTTATCTTCTAGGAGTTCGACAGAATTTTTCCTTTCTTCGCTTAAATTTTTCCGTAGCACTTTTCTTCAAGAATCTGAAAAGATTTTGCTTGAGGCAGATCAAAAAACTTAAATTTGTTCGAATAGCTTTCTAGATTCACAATACACGGTCTCGTGAAGGTGCGTCGTTGACCTTGCAGTGTTGGATCGTGAATTCTCTTGTTGTGCTGCTTGCCTTTTTTGAAATCTCTGTAAATGAAAACTAAAGGGGTTGATATGTGCGAGTTAATGACGCGCCTTATCAACACATTGTGTTGGAGTTCACTGCTTGTTTTTTTTTTTTTTCAATGAAATGTACTTACGCATGTTTTTCATGTAACATCTATTTTTAGGGTTTTCACCAAAGTTGCATATAGAATCACATATCTGTAATTTCTCTTTTAATTTTTTTTATAAAAGTTGTATGGACCTACATATATTTGTAACTACCACTTTGGGGGGCCATTTGGCCAAAAACTTGGGACTCAATTTTTTTCAAAGATCTTTCAGAAATTTTTTTTTATTTCAAAATCCGTGATCCAAAATTAATTCATGCAATAGGGGGTTAAAGTCTATTTAGTAGCCCAAATATTTAAAGCGTTTCAACATCCGCTAAGATTTAGTGTCCCCACATTTGTCCGACTGAAGTGCAGAAATGGAGGAAGTCAAATGACTTGAATTTGAGCTTGTATTCTCTTATCATTCCTCGTTGCATTCTTGTTTCTTAAAATCTTAACTGGACTTTATTTTGCAATTAAGAACTAAAATTTGGCTCATCCGTAAAAACACTCATGCACGTAGGAAAACTAATGGTACACAAGCTCTTTCTAAGTTGAGCCAGAACTTGTACCTCCAAATTTCAAAATTTAGTCCAGGAATGTAAGTACTATCGTCTTGAAGTATTCAATGACTATGAGATCCGCTCCCTAGTCGCTGGTCGCCACCACCCCCCCCCCCCCCTCTACGGCGGCTTGCGGCCAGCGAAATCGTCGAAATCGCCCGTAGGCGGTTAATGAGCAAATAATTTTAATTGAATAACAAAAGGATGTTTCGAAGAAAAATTCCCCGCCAAACAATATTCTTAATTACTTTTTCCTTACTCCTAATTTTGATTCCTTTTTTGGAATTCGACCTTTGGCCCGTCTTACTCTCCTTCCTCACCCCGTCCATCGAGCTCTTAAAAATAATTTTATTAGAATATAAAAAGGATCATGTTAAAAGACACTTTCTCTTTTATTCACCTGCGCAGGATATGGTGGTGCCCCATCTATGCAATCAGGGATGATTTTATGGGCCTCGAGTTCAAATAACATTTCTCGATGAGGCATAGGGGTTGTCCCAGTCACTTGCGTTGTCGGATCTGTTGTAAAATTTGCAGAAACAATTTCCTGTGTTATGGTCCAAATCCAAAATCCACATTGAATCCATAAATTTTGTCCACTTTTTTGATACCAGTGCATGTTGACGATTAAAGGAGGTAATACACTTTTGAGAGCCTTCACAGTGAGCAAAAGTGCACATAAAAACTAGGTAAAAAAATATACCTTTTATCCACTCCTTCTTCTAAAAACTTGTTAAATCAACGTGTCCGTTTTTTTGAAGATTTAAATTTATGTAATATGATCTTTTTACATTCCATTTCCATTCCATGTATGATTACATTTCAAGATGAAATCGAAAAAACGCACTATGGTGGTTTCGACGAACAAATTTATTAGATCAGGTCAAAATTGATTAGGTGCCGTAAAATCGAACACATGAACACTGGACACTGAATTTATAATGCTTATAACTATCACTTATACTTGCATGCATTTTCGCATGGCTTCAAAATCCGATAATTAGCTCTGAGGATCAATTTCGTTTTACATTGTAACTTTTGAAAATTCACAATTTGAAACCACTTTTTGATCACACTTCAAGTGACCATGTCTATTCTGCGAGTTGCAATTTTTCTTCAGCCCTTCATCGGTTCTTTTGCCCACGAAAAAGATCAAATTGAATTCATTATTCACTTAATACTGTAAGGAGAGGCATCTTTCTCTTCGAAAGCTTCATCACCAAATGTTGATGAGTAAATTAGATAGTCTTCAGATAAGATTGATATTAAGAGAAATTATTCGTTACGCCCCTTCCCTATAATCGATTTCGTCACCTACGGACTGATATAGGCTAGACGTTAACGTATAAGGATTTTATTGACTTGGGTCCAAACAACAACATAACCTCTTCTAATGCTACCGATGAACTGATACCTTTTCCGTAGTGTGGTTAAAATTTGGAATTTTCAATTCCCCCTCGTAATTAATTACTAACCTTTCTTGTTCTACCCCACACTATGAGGGGGGTCTGTGGCATCATAAATATGCGTCATTCCAGGAAAATAGGTTCTTAGCAAAATGAGGAAAAAGCATTCATTTCAGATATTTTTGCAATCACTCTACAATGTTAAAATTTAATGAGGCAACGCTGTGAATCAGTCTAAAATGAGTAAGGATTGTAAACAGATCTATTCAGGTCACATCAATCTGTTAATGCTAAGAATAGTTTTAAGAAATATGACTTTATTTATAGCTTTACAAATAACGATTGAGGAGTTTATCCCTGAAACTCGGAGTAAAAGAAATTAACTGCGTAAGGATCTCCTAAATTATACTTCTTTGCGAAATGTCTCGTGTCCCAATGTATGCGCCACCGGTCCTCGTAACTGTGAACAGATTTGAAATTCGCTTAAGATGATCAAGGAGGACAAAAGAAAACTATTTTCGTCGCAGAAAGTGACATTGACACCTTGTTTCTCAGGCTGATTTGACAAATTTTAGACTTAGCCCATTCCTTGTGAACTCTGATCATTATCATCACATTGTTGGAGTTACGCTGAGGACGGAGGTCGGGACACCTCCGAAACGCGTCCGCCTCAAAATTAAAATTTTATGCAAGTGAGTGCTTATAAGTTTGTTTTTTAAATTTTGTTTGTTTTTCATAGTATTGAATCTTTCAAAAATTTAAGAAAAACGGATTTTAGATACTGAATTTTAAAAATATTAATAGTTTCTCAACTTTTGCGCATAAGTACACTAAAAATAAGTTCATAATAAAATCAAAATATATTTTAAGCGTAAAAGAAAACTCACTCTGTTTCATTGATGGCAGGTTCGTCAAAATCCAGCTTAGACGGTTGTCGGTATACACAGAAAACGTAGCGATGTTTACCTAAGTCCGAACATACACCACAGCACATTAGCATTCAAATCAGAAAACAAGAATCACAGGGCAGAATCTGCATAGGTAGCTTAACAAGCTTAACAGTACCCTTGGTGTGCGATACCCCTTGTGTTATCAACTTTCCCGTATCTTCTAATTCGAACTTTGTAAAAACATATGTATAATCACAAACGATTAGGCATGCAACTTTTACTGAAAACGTTTTTCTGGTAATCTTAACGATCATTAATTGCACACATTTTTGCTGATAGCGATTCCACAAATTGCACTATTCAATCAAATTATAATATGAGGATATATGATTTGTAAGTACTTAACACGACATGATAATTGATTATTTCAAATACATTACATAAGGTAATTTTAAAATGGATATAGGATAGGGCATTGCTGCCAATAAAATTAGAAGGAGCAACCACCGCAAAATGTAACCTCTATCATGTATACATTTGGTTATTCATACATTCTCTTCTTTTCTTCGACAGTGCTGTTAAATATTCAAATATAACTTTCTTTGTGCAATGGCAACAGAAAATGCGATAATGACTAGCTGTTTGACTTCTCTTTGGCTTCTCTACCGTCAGCGCTTGGATGCAACTATTCGTGATCCAGGGATGACCGCATTGCATACACAAGAGATTGCAGGCGTTCTGACGTACCTGATCGCAACGCATGGCTGCAAAACTACTCGCGCTCAATGGATGTCCGTATTGCATGCAAAATCGCTTTAACTATTACAAAACTTGGAATTTGGGCTAGCCGTTTGGAGTAATATTGCTGCAGCGTCGCCAAATGGTGCTATTTATGGAATCATTATTGCAATGAAGGATACTTGATTGTGCGGAATGTTTTTCGAACAGAAAAAATTGAGACTGCGTGATTTGCAGTGCGCAAATTTTGCATTTAGGAATGAATCTAGGAAAATTTCGGAATGAATATTGTTTACATGCTCAGAGTGATTTTTGTGCGATTTTCCTTTGAAAAGTCTACTCATTGTCTTCTGACTGTGGTTTGTATGTGCAACAGACTTATTATTATATATAGTATGACATCAGAGATCCTATCTAAATATCTGCCGAGAGCCACGAGAGAAAAAAAATTGAAGGTAATTTACCTGTTCCGTTCGCAGGTTTAGGAGCTAAGTATGCTACGAGACTATCGTGTGATACTTGTGAGTATCCGTGGATATTGACTTGATGCCAGAACAAGAACTCTCTTTGTTCCGGATTTATTTTGGACGGGTGATCTGGGCCTGCAGGAAAGATGAAGCAGTAGATGTAATGATTTACTTTGGCTTTTGAAAAGAGGAACCCGTATGATTGCGAGGTTCAAATTATCCTCTTCCTTTGACTTGACCCGATTTGCTTGTTCGTAACTGTGCCCAGTGGAGATTCTTGAATCTTGGCAACACTGTTCTTTCTCCAATTAAATGTACGTAAAACAATCGATTCTTGGTATGACAGCTACCCTTGCCTAAAATCGATATTTTTAACGGATTAAATTGGAGTAAAAACATTGTTGGAAACTTTCAAGAATCACCACTGACTGCGCCTGAAGTATTGTTTCGTGCTAAGAAAGAACGACGTCAGAGCATTCGGACTTTGCCAAATTTCTCCTCACAAAATATTGATTTTTGAGAAACTTTATGAGTAATTCATATTGAGATTTGCAGGTCCTTTAAATTAAACTGAGAATTAAAGTCGCTTAAAAATTCGAAGAATAAAGTGTTCAAAAATATTCTTGAAAATTTTGTTTTCATCAAAGGGAATTTGGCAACATCTGAAGGTTCATTACAGCGTTCTTTCTTAGCAAGGCAGTATCATGCTGTGACGACATTTCCCTGTCAAGTAGAAATATCATCACGACTCAATCGCTCCTTTCTAAAAGTTCGATCTATAATGAAAAACACTTAATAATGTAGCTGACTCGAGAGAGACACTTCATTTAAAGTCACAGGGGTCATAGGTTAAGGTTTATAGGACATTTCGTCAATGATTTTTTGTCCGTGCATTTGTTTTTTCTAGTAGTTTACATCCACGCGTTTTTTCTGCAGGGGAGTTTGGTTCGACTTACCAATTGAGACCCAAAGTTATTTGATACACACTTAGATTCAAATGAAAATTTCTCACGATGTTTTTGGATGAAATTGTATAATATCTTGTATATTTTTTTTTTGCAAACAGAGGAAAATATATAATTGAGATTTTTGGTGCATATGGGGGAGCGGTAATTCCATGAGAGAAAATTCACTAAAGCTCTCTACACATCTTTAGTGCAACAGGACTTAATTATCTTTCAATAAAATTCCATCTTGTTATACTTGAACCGTATAAACCTTTTGATTTGCCTCAGCTAAAGGCTCTTGGTTTTTTTTCTGGGCAAGATGACTTCGCTACGGCGACAGCGTGCCGCGGCGCTTCGAGCCACTATTTCACCACGGAGATGGTTTAAATATTAGAGCCTAACACAGAGCGGAGCGGCGCGGCGTGCTGTCAGCGCGAAACGCGCACTGGTGGAGCCTACAAACCTAAGGGGATACTTCACGCATTGCGCAATGCTTGAAGTATCCACTTAGGTTTGTAGGCGCTGATGCGCGTTACCGCGCTGGCCGGCCGGTCGCCAACCCGCAACGTGTCACGGAGCCTCAAGCAACTATTTCACAACAGACGTGTTGCAAAGTATCATACAAAATTGCAGGTACGCCAACGTATATCATGATCGATGGCATCTTTCAAAAACACGAAGTTCCTTTGCAAATTAAATCGAGTGACAACGACAGAAAGAGAGCGGTAGTCGAAAAACTTACTAAATCCTAGTAGCTGCATTCAATAACTTTTAGCACGATTTTTAAACTTCGTTGGAGGAAAAAATGACTTGATTCAAGCAGAAATTTGTTCAAATTTACCGCAAAGAGGATTTCCTTATGAATCAATTAAGAAAATAGTGCTTGTTTGAATAAGGAAAGATGCTTATATAAAATGAAAAGTCACTTACATCTAGCAGAAACCCGCTTTCATTCAGGTATTCTATTCTTGATTCCAAATAAACTCTTCTTGACGGCATATTCATGAATGTTTCTGCCTATATCGAGTCACATTTGGACTGCACTGCTCTTTTTCTGTGCCTTAGTATGTTGATTTATTTTGCAAGGAAAGCTTCGCACTCTTAAAATATGCCTGTCATCCTTAATATGTTAGAGTATCTCCAATTTCGTATGATACTTTGCAACATTTCTGTTGTGAAATAGTTGCTTGAGGCTCCGTGACACGCTGCGGGTTGGCGACCGGCCGGCCAGCGCGTAACGCGCATCAGCGCCTACAAACCTAAGTGGATACTTCAAGCATTGCGCATTGCGTGAAGTATCCCCTTAGTTTTGTAGGCTCCACCAGTGCGCGTTTTGTGCTGACAGCACGCCGCGCCGCGCCGCTCCGCTCTGCTCTGTGTTATGCTCTAATATTTAAACTCGCAGATCAGCGTTTCTCAACTCATGATTTTGAAATGTTTGCACACTCTTCATGGCATATTCTCATTGAAATTCATGGGAGAAAAAATATATATTTACGGAAAATATAATGTGTGTTTTGTAATTATTAAGGTGGTTCCAAATTGGTGACAAATTTAATGATATCCAAAGCACTTAAATTTTTTTTCATTTTGTGATTTTACTATGCTGAAACGTGGTGTACGCGCAACCAAACACTCAAAATTAGACGTATTTGACTCTAAAAGATCGATGTTCAAATGGGTTAAAATTTGTTTTTAATTTTTATTAAATCCCTTTGTTTTTATTTTCTCCAGATAAAATTTCTCGAGAAAGTGGAAGTAGACTTTGGGAATATATTGCTCGTGAAAGAGATCAAATTTGCCCCATATCTGATAAGGTATCCAATGAAAAAATTATATTCAATTATCTTTGAAACTTACTCTAAAGTACTTATAGCACATTTACAGTCGCACAGACTTATGAATCATATCCGAAAATTGGCATCATTTGTTGCCAGGGGGAACGAAATAATTTCTAGGGGCACACGGCTGAAAAATCTACGTTATCTAGATTATCTGTGTCGGAAAAACAAGGAGCCTTACCTGTGAAAAGCAGAGTAAAATAATGATCTTCACTACTGGTTGGCTTGAGGTTGTTGTCTGCCCATGTCACTGACTGTGGTGGTTCTGTAATTTCTTTCGGTGAAAGTTTGTTACCTAGTTTTGCTTCAGCACCACCAGGCCATGTTATCTAAAACACAGCATCTGCGAATGAGAAGTACGACCTGATAAAGATCTTAATGTCTTCGACGAGCTATTATTATTACTTGGATTAAGTATAAAAATAATGTAAATGATGAAAATTAAAACCACCTAGAATGGAATATCAAATGCCATGGTTATGTCAGGAAATAAGCTCGCTCCACAATGCTCAAAAAAATTATAAAATAAAAGAACACTGTCAAACACGAATGTATCATTACGAAATGAGAAAGAATAAGTTGGTGTAATCAACATTTAACCTGTACGGGGTTTCTTGTTGACTTTCTAAATTAAAAAAAATCCCATTTTTAACTCCCTCTCCTCCACCAAATGCTTTTGATAAAATGAATTTGCGCTCTGATGTGAGTCCCCAAATGCTCTGAGCCGCGTGATTTAGGTATAGGGGATGGCGGATGATTTCCCGGCCGCTACGCGGCTCAACCCCGCGAGAGCACTTTGCACCCTTTAAGACCAACCTTGCAGGCCCCCTGTGAGTTCATTTACTAAATAGAGTGGAAAAATCATGGAAATCGGCCCAGTAGATCTGTAGAACGAACTGTGACGAAGAATAAACATTTCGACGGTGAAACTACCAAACCACGTATCTCGGTTTGCGACGTCGCAGACTTCCTGTCATACTTTATTTTTTAAATGAAAAACTACTTAACATCCAGTCTTGAAAATTTCTGTGATTTTTCCTCTTTGTGCGGAGAAAATTCCGTGAAAATTTCAAGGAATGATATTGATTTGGTCTACTTCAAAAAAAATAAAATCTGAGCGTAGATTTTTAAACACTGCAAACGAGATACGTGGTTTGGTAGTTTCACCGTCGATTTGTATTGCTTCAACGAGAGGAGTGACAACTCGTCAGTTATTTACAAAACTTGGTCATATTTCCAAAATCTGAAGAAGGGGTTTCACTCAACGACTATATCAGCCGTCGACAGCCGTAAAAATAATGGAAATCGGTCCAGTAAAATGATAGAACGATTTGTGACAAAAAATTAAAATTTAAGGGGTTAGAAAGCTAATACAAATAATGATTCAGCAATACATTTAATTCGTGGAAAATTCCTTTAAAACTTTCTAAAATATTTCGTCCACTAAGTCTGTCTCACTCTCACGAGCATAAAATACTGCGCCTACCGGTAGAAAACGTTTTATTCAGCGACACTGTTTCGATATACAACTATATACTCAGCAGCGTGTATCGACAAATAATGTCAACCACATTATTTTGATAAATTCGGCACTCACATTGACAGTAATATTAGGAGCTCGATCTAACACATCCGGAATTATTTTGGAGAGGTAAAGGGCAGTGACGATCTCACCAGGCCCAGGTGTGTTCATTCCTGCTTGTGCTTCCAAAGCTTCCTTTGTCTTCTCGTCCAGTTCCTCATCGTCAGATGAAGGAGAACTAGACTTTACCAACACTGTGATATTTTGAATTATGATTAGCAAGTAAGGAAAATAAACACAAGATCTCAAATTTAAAGCTGCCATGACGTAAAAATGTTGAATGGGGAAATTAAAAGTTTAAGTCTGCTTTCAAACCTCGAGACTAGTCTCCGATACGTAAACTTAGATACCTAATCCAATAAATAGAAAAATAAGAAGATCCACATTTTTCGCAGCCTCCCACGCAACTTTCTCCTAGTGATATGAATTTGTTTTAAAAGAACCATTTCGTTCTTATTAGTGATAACAGTTAACTTATAGTGGAGCAGTGATAATCAATAACCCAAATCCTCCATAACTTCTTGTCAGATTGAATAAAATCCGATTACATACCATGATAAGCTGCCTAAGGCGCAGTTCCTTCGGTATGGGTGCAAGCATGCGAGCGTAGTGAAGTTGTAGAGGTTGCAAAGACTGCCATGCTAGAAGTTTTATTTCAAGTGATTTTATGCTCTTTTATGAACAGAGAACATCAAAGTTTAGTGTAATGGATACTAATTCGAAATCAAAAGCTGATGATAATTTAGCAAGCGAAAGATCCCTGCGGCGATGCACGTGTGGTGGTCCTCGATACGACTTTTATCAGAATGTTTCGAAGTCCATGAACATGGTATCTACAACTCCTCGGATTTAGAAATTCATAAAGCTTGTCTCTGACTCGAACCCACCACGTTTCACAATGAATTTGATAAAAGGTAATTGGACATTTTTAATTGGACATGATCATTCTTTGTCTATCAAAAGCGGGCACTTCATCTGCATTCCCAAATGGAAATAAATGTATCTAACTCAAGATCAATATTTTTGCGTTATTGAAGAGACCGCACGTCGGTCAAAATACTGAAGCTTGAAAATTTGGTACCATAAATTTTCAAAGGTTTCTTCTTTCCCTCTGCAAATACGACAGATGACGTTGTCTTTGATTATATAATTATATTTTTTTTATTTAAATACATACATATAAGTCACTTTACAGCACTCCCTCCTGCTCTACGACTCCTAACCTCCACTGCTCTCTTTCAAACCACAAATCTTGGGGGATTGAACACCTTAACATTTCCGCTTCAATCCCTTCCCTCTAACCTTTCATTGGGCGCCTTTTGCGTCTTCTCCCAGGAGGAACCCAGTCAAGGACCTTCTTCGGCAACCTGTCTCCTGCCATTCTTTGGACATGACCATACCTTGATTTAAATGTGTCTCTAAATTTTTATAGACTTCAATTCACGATCCAGTAATCCAGTTTCCAGAAATAAGTTGCACCTTCAAATTTCGTTGCATAAATGTTTGGTTTTACTATGTATCTACTTTGTCCGAACCTCGGCGGAGGATGGACATCCTGAGGTAGAGCACCCTGATCAGGAGGTGAAAATTGGGAACTACTCTCTCCAAGAAACATTTCTCCAAGAAAGAAAACTGACACCTGACGAGTTCCAAAAGATTCTTTCTGATCATAAAATCATTCCAGATTGCATTGATACGTCTCCAAACCAAACAGCCCAGGTACTTTTGTTATCTCCTCTATATCCTAAAGTTCTTAACTAACAATAAACAGAGAAAAATTAGCGTTGAGTACTTAATTGGAAGCCTTAAATGGACCGCGTTTAACAGAAAGAAACCAAGCCACATCAGCTATTGCCAAATTTAATTGGGCAATTTAATTTTTTACGAAAGAACGTTTCTGTGGATTACTTACAAAATTTTATGGAATTTGCTTCGCACTATCGAGAAAATTCGCTGAAATTTGCACAAAAATCCGCACAACCGTTTTCATGTAAAAAATTGAATTGTCAAATCAAATTTGGCAACAGCTGATGTGGCTTGGTTCCTTTCTGTTTAACGCGGTCAAAATATCAGTGGCGTGGCGTGCTTTGCGATGTATCAGTTGATCTGCCATTAAAATATATCGACGGCGTAAGTCTGCTACCACGAGTCTCGTTTGCGGTGTTTAAAATCTCCGCCACTATCTCATTTTTTTAAAGGAGAACAAATTGACATCATTCCCTGAAGTTTTTGCCGAATTTTCTTCGCGCAGAGAGGAAAAATCACGGCAGTTTTAAAGAATTGCCGTTGATTAGACTTCCGTTTAAAAAATTAAGTATGACAGGAAGCATGCGACGTCACACACCGAGATAGTTGCGGACTTACACCGTCGATATGGAAAATGATTAATAAACAGGGTGTCCGTAACGAACACTTTAATAATCGATTCTGTACCTTTGCTTCAAATGAGGAAATATCGATAATGAATCATTCATACCCCGCAGCAGTTAAAAATGCGATTCGGATCGCAAATCATATTCTAGTTATGCTGTATGTAGAATACATACAATTTGGATTACCTATATAAATGCATATTTTCGTTTATTTTTCATTTTCAGATTCAATTCTTTTATGGATACATTGTAAAATTAGGAAATCTGATTCCACCAGAAAATATAACGGACCATTCGCCGCATTTCGTAAAATGGCCGGGGACGTTCAAAGACTTTTTCACTTTGATAATGGTAGGTGAGTATTCTTAGAGCAAAGCTCTTTTTTCAATGAAATTTATTTTTTATTTTTTCTGACGAAGATGACTTTTGTAATTTACTCACGTAAAATTTACCTAATTTTCCTAAATCTTGCTGCCTCAATATTAGGTCTGGCCAACCAGCTTTTGGCGACGGTTATCACATGATCAGAAACACCGATTTCAAAATGCGAGTAGTATATGCGGAATAGATCCTAAAATTATCTGAAACCGAATCAAAACCCTAACCATGAGTTTGAAATCCTAGAGTCCGGATTTACTATCTATGTAGACAGAAATAATTGATGCATTAAAAACTCCTAAGTATTAGTATTTAAGAGTTTGCATCAAAATAAATTAAAATATAATATGTCCATGCTTCCTGCTACAAAGCCGTAAGCCATATTCTAAGCTAAAACAGTGGCACTCTTTACGCGACACATACATACATGAGTCGCTTTTGTAGCGCTCTCTGGCGCTTTGCGACGCTTAATCGCCACAAAACTCGGTCTTCCCACAGGTCATCAGGAAGTTGACACTCCCTCATCTCCGTATGGGAGACTGTCGTCACAGGGTTAGCAATCCTGCGGACACCAGCTGGTAGCCCCTGCCTTAAAAGGGGTAGTGGAGATAGTCACCGGCCCCTGGGCGTATGAACCACCCGTTAAAAGGGCAGGCAGGGCTCTGAGCTGAAGTGAAATCAACCGGTCTAGGAGAGGCAAAATCAAACCCTGGTCCTCCAGGTTGGGGGTTGAGTCATCGGGCTAACTCCCCGGTACTTGTAAAACGTTTCACTGTCAAAAGACCTAACTCTTTACGCGATATCTATGTTATTTGCATTCATGAAACAATATTGATGTTGCTTATGTAGCTCGAGAATAATCAGGTATATTGCTGATGCTGCGTTTTTCAAATTTTGGTAGGATTCAAATTTTTTTTTTCAATTTCGGTTAGAGTTTAAGTTTTTTAAATACCACCAGATACAAATTAGAATCTGCATTACGATTTCATTTCATTTTCCTCAATGATTTTAAGTATCACCTCGACCACTAATGCGTCCCACAAAAATTATATAGTAATTGTTTGTAATGTAATAGATTTAGACGAGCCCTCTCGGTCAGATCCTAATAAGCGCGAATGGCTTCACTGGATGATAGTCAACATTCCAGGATGGACGAGGTACTTAGGTGAACTCAAATGTAGATACGTCCCTCCTCAACCAAAAGCAGAAAGTGGTAAGTGAGCAGTTCTCATTATCACTGTAGGAAAACGTGAAAGTTTTTCGGCTTTTCTTGAAAAAGTTAAGTAGAGTAGTAATCAACTCAAAACGGACCTGTATTAAGCGTGCCAGTAGGGCTCGCTTTTTGAAATCACTCGGATGTACCAATGTACCATAGTACAGCACACAGATCAACCAATGCTATTCAACGGATCGTCCAAATACTTTTTTCCTCGCACCCGTTTCTTTGTCTTTGAACCATTACACTGTCAAGCTCTGATGGTCTTTTACCAAAAAATCTAATGAACTGCTAATTGGAAACCCTTGAGAACATTTTTCTGTCAAAACCGTATTATTCAATTTGACAGAAACCTCATAGGAGCTTTCTTACGCTCGGAGGACTCAACTCTAGAACCTTCTTTCCCGCCAAAACTCTATAGCCA